CTCCCACGTACTTCGGATCTCATTGAAGCGGGAGCATGTAAAGAATACATGCTCTGCATTTTCGGCGACTCCTGTGCAAAATAGGCACTCCGGGGAATCTTCATGTTTGTATTTGTGAAGATACGCCCGGAAACACCCGTGTCCTGAAAGCATTTGTGCCAGGTAATAATTGACCTCTCCGTTTTTTCGACTTACCCAGATGGCCAACTGTGCGATTAGGCGATGAGTCCATCTGCCCTTGGTAGACGCGTCCCACTTTCGCTGCCATCGTTGTAACCTTCTACGGCTCTCGTCTGCGCTGAGCTCTGCTGCGCTTTGTGTTTCCAACTTCTTGCATCGATACAGAGACCTTCGCTCTTCGTCCAATACCTCAATAGGTAACATACCGGAAATGACGCATACTGCATCCTCGGACACCGTGCGGTATGCACTCGCTACTCGCAGAGCACTCAGTCGATACACTGATGTTACCTTTTGCCGTGATTCTGCCATGTGCAGCGCATCAGCCCAGATGGCAATGCCATAGGTGAGCACTGAAGTGACGACCGATGAAAGCAGCGCTCGTCTTTTTTGCTTAGGACCACCGATATTAGGCATGAGGCGCGATATAGTAGATCCGACTGCAGACGCCTTGGCACCCACGTGCTCGGTTTGCTGCTTAAAATTGAGTCGAGCATCAATCATCACTCAAACGAAACTGATGTTCTCGACCATATCCTTTCAAATTGTTGCAATAATTTTGGGCCATGTTTAGGTCAGCAGCAGTAAACACTCAAAAAAATTCAAGAAATCAAAATTGCACTACGTTTCGAATGCTCTACGCATTCCTCCTCAGGTGCATCATTTTATTCTACATAAACCGAAACAAAAAAAACAAAAGTAATAATTATAAATTTACAAAAATATTCCCAGAATTCAACTGCAATTTACAACAAATTTTTCAAAAAACCTCACCTAAAATAAGATATACTCCAAGACATTCATATTCCTCAAGAACTCACACTATGCTATCGTTGCGGCAAATAAACAACAACCGTAACCTAGAACTGTCACCACCAAAGTAGCATATCATTATAATCTCCGATTAATGCGACTGCTCCGAAAACCCATACTGGTACAAACCTTTGTGAGTTGACAGTGCCGATCACAACATCAGTATGCAAAAACTTTGTCAAAAAAACATTTTTCATTATCACAAACAACTTAACAAACGTACGTCAAATAATTCCATGAAGTTAATATAAATAGTAGTCATGAAATAAATTCGCAGAGCGCTACATTAGTGCCATCTGTCACGAATTGAAAACAACAACATGCTACCCTATGCCAAAACATCTGAAGGAAGTCATAGATGGCGTTGGTAGAGGTATTTTTGAAGATAAGGTGGATTTCAGGAAAACTTTGTTTCTTCCTTATACGGAGCGGTTAAATGATAAATTGAAGCACACCTGTGGTAAATTTGGGGTACAAATAATCCCTAAGGTGGAAAGTAAATTGAATAAAATATTCAAAACAACAAAGGATCCGGTGGAGTCTGATTTGTTGTCGGGTGTGATATATAAGATTCCTTGCGGGAATTGCAGTAAGTGCTACATAGGTCAAAATATGAGATGTTTTGGGGAAAGAAAAAGAGAGCACATGAATAGTGAGAAGAATCCTGACAAATACAGATCAGGTCTATCTAGTCACGTGAAAGAAATGAAGCATAAGTTTGATTTCAATAGCTCAAAAATTTTAAAGAGACAATGCAATAATTATAAAAGAGAGGTATTGGAGATGATGTATATAAGGAAACATAATGATCACACAGTGAATTTTGTTAATGACTGCTAAACTAGGATCTGTATATGATCAGATCATTAAGTTCCACTAACGAACATTTAAATGTTGACTAGCATTAATGGTATGGTTTGGATGTGTTTATGAAGACTTGCGCCACCAACGCCATCTATGACTTCCTTCAGATGTTTTGGCATAGGGTAACATGTTGGTGTTTTCAATTCGCGACAGATGGCGCTAATTTAACGCTCTGCGAATTTATTTCATGACTACTGTTTACATTACTTTCATGGAATTATTTGACGTACGTTTGTTAAGTTGTTTGTGATAATGAAAAATGTTTTTTTGACAAAGTTTTTGCATACCGATGGTGTGATCGGCACTGTCAACTCATAAAGGGTTGTATCAGTATGGGTTTTCGGAGCAGTCGCATTAATCGGAGATTATAATGATATGCTACTTTGGTGGTGAGAGTTCTAGGTTACGGTTGTTGTTTATTTGCCGCAACGATAGCATAGTATGAGTTCTTGAGGAATATGAATGTCTTGGAGTATATCTTATTTAAGGTGAGGTTTTTTGGAAAATTTTTTGTAAATTGCAGTTGAATTCTGGGAATATTTTTGTAGATTTATAATTATTAATTTTGTTTTTTTTGTTTCGGTTTATGTAGAATAAAATGATGCACCTGAGGAGGAATGCTTAGAGTATTCGAAACTTAGTGCAATTTTGATTTCTTGAATTTTTTTGAGTGTTTACTGCTGCTGACCTAAACATGGCCCAAAATTATTGTAACATCAATCATCACCCCCAGGTATCGTATGTACGGCTGGGAGGTAATTTCACAGGACCCGACCTGCAGCGATATCGTCTCTATTTCCTTTCTGCTGGTGATCAACACCGCCTCTGTCTTGTGTTCCGCCAGCTTCAGGCCCACTGTGTCCATCCAATAGCGGATCGTTTCACAGGTCATGTCAAAAGTTTAATTGATCTGCTCCATGAATTTGCCCACAATGACTACAGCCACGTCATCTGCAAATGCCACGAATTTAGTTTCCCGCGACAATCCCAGTTTCAGCAGCCCGTCATACATGATATTCCACAATAGGGGACCTAATACTGAACCTTGAGGTACTGCTCCGGTTACTCTATACTCCTCAGGATCACTCTCCGTGTCGTACTTGAGGATTCTTCCAGTGAAGTAGCTGTCTACCATTCTCCGCAAGTATCCCGGTACATTGAAATTCTCAAGAGCCTCCATGATACGGTCCCACCTGGCCGAGTTGAAGGCATTCTTGATGTCTAGTGTCGCTACTAGGCAATACTTCTTCGTGCCATTTAGCCATCTCTTTCCTGAGATCGCGTTTTTGGCAATGTCGACGACCAGGCTGATCGCATCGGGAGTGGACCGGCCTTTCCGGAACCCATATTGGTTGTCCGCCAACAAGGGTTCGACTTCTGTTTCTATACGTTAGTGGACAATACGCTCGAGGATCTTGCCAGCGGTATCGAGCATGCAGAGCGGACGGTATGATGACGGATCGTCCGGTGGTTTTTTCCCTTCCGGGAGTAGTACAAGTCTCTGCTGCTTCCACATGACAAGGAAGGAGCCCTCCCTTAGGCACTCGTTGTATACGTCCAAAAACATCTCCGGCATCGCGTGGATAGCTGTCTTCAAGGTGATGTTGGGGATTCCATCCAGACCAGGGGCCTTGGTATTACCCACCCTATTGCAGGCTTCCATCAGTTCTTGCTTGGTGATTGGTCGAATAATCATCTCTTTCCATTTTTCGTCTGTGCGATGAAGTTATGGCTGTTGCGGGAACAACACCGTGACGATTTTTTCCATCAGCACAGGACACGTTGGTGACGGCATTGGCTGACTATTCAGTCTCGATATCACCACCTTGTATGGTCTACCCCACGTATCGCTTTCCACCTCAGCAAGGAGTTCCCTCCAAGATTGCTTTTTACTGCGCTTGATGGCCTTGCTGAGGTTTCGGCGTACTTCCGTATATCTTGTCTGCAACTCCTCGGAATTCGGCTTCCTGCGGCCACTCTACGAGCTGCATTACACTCTTTTCGCAGGGTGGCGATGGTTTCATTCCACCAGTACACCGGTGGGTGCCGGTTTGTGGCCCGCTTTCTGGTCATGGTTGTAGCGCAGGCTTCCGTCAGCCTTCTCATGAACTTTTGTGCCTTTTCAGTGGCATTGCTACCACTGATCGGGCGATCGTCCAACGCTGCTGAAAAGGAGCTAGGATCAAAAGTGCTCACCCTCCAGCCAATTCTGTTGGTCTTCTTTGGTGTTAGGGCGGTTCTCTGGCCAATATTTGCCTGCCACAGAATCGCGCAGTGGTCACTTGCAGTCTCAATGTTTGTTACTCTCCATGAGCAGTTCTCCTTTGTAAGACTGCTACTCACGAATGTAAGGTCCACAATCGATGTCGCACCTCCTCTCATGGTTCGTCGCCGCTATTCAGCAAAACCACGTCCAACGCTACCATGGCTTCCAGTATGGCTTGCCCTCTGGGATTCGTCTCCCTACTTCCCCAGGCATGCTTGTGTGTGTGTGTGCGTGAGTGTGTATGTGTGTGTGTGTGTGTGTGTCTTTATATCTGTTGGGAGAATGCATTTACGCATCCCCACTTGCCCGGGAGAATCCGAGATTTTCTCCGACAACTGGGGTATGTCGGGCTCCGATCACAAGGAACAATACCGACTCAACTCCAATCAGACAAATTCACTAACCTTTTGATCCCGCGCAGCACCATCGGTAAGTATTACTTCGCGAGGGAGGTCTTAGCTATTTGTTCTTTCACGTTGTTTCATCTAATGTACGTCCCCCTGTCCCGCTGAGATGTTGGGTGCGGGGAGGAGGTTCCAGTAGATTTCGCGTTCATTCTGCAGCTTTCCGCTTGCGTTCCTCATTGCTGAGCTCCTTTATGACTTCTGTCGCGAAGATGCTCGTTGCGTCCCAGGCTGCCTGCGACGACAGCGTAGCTCCAACATGTTTTCAGGCAAGACTTCCCTTTCAAGGGTAGATTCCCAAATATGCCGGATCTCGCTGAAGCGGGGGCATCTGAAAAATACATGGTCCACATCTTCGTCGACCTCGGTGGAGGCTGGGCATTTCGAGGAATCTTCATGTTTGAATTTATGAAGATACGCCCGGAAGCACCCATGTCCCGATAACCATCGATACGGTTTAACCAACCGCTCACCTAAGGGATCAGCCGATGAGTCCATCTTCCTTTTGATGAATTGTCCGACTTCTCCTGCCATTTCTGCAGACTCTTTCGCCTCTCGTCTGCGCTAAGTTCTGCTGCGCTCAGTGTCCCAGATTTCCTCCGCTTATACAATGACCTTCGTTCTTCGGCCAATTCTTCTACGGGGAGCATCCCAACGATGACGCACACTGCGTCGTCGGATACCGTACGATAATCGCTCGTAACCCGCAGAGCACTCAGTTGATAGACTGGAGTAATTCTCCGCCGTGATTCCTGCAACTGCAATGCATCAGCCCAGATGGCAATGCCGTAGGTTAGCACTGACCTGATCACCGACGACAGTAATGCTCGTCTTCTCTGTTTCGGATCTCCTATGTTGGGCATGAGGCACGATGGGCTGGATCTGACTCCAGACGCCTTGATACTCAAGTGCTCAGCGTGCTGCTTGAAATTTAGTCGGACATCGATCATCACTCACAAGTATCGGATGTACGGTTGGGAGGTGATTTCGCAGGCCCCGACCTGCAGCATGATTGTCTCAATTTTGCTTCTGCTAGTGATCAGCACGGCTTCTGTTTATGTTCCGCCAGTTTCAGTCCCACGGCGTTCATCCAGCGGTAGATCGTCTGCGAAAGTCATGTCGAAACTGAGGTTGATCTCCTCCAGGTATTTTCCCACAATTACCATAGCCACATCATCTGCAAATGCCACGAGCTTAGTTTCCCGCGGCACTTTCAGCTTGAGTAACCCATCGTACATGGTGTTCCACAACAGGGGACACAATACCGAGCCTTGAAGAACACTTCCGGTGACTTTGTACTCCTCGGGACCGTCCTCCGTATTGTACTTAAGGACTCTTCCAGTGAAATAGCAGCCGATCATTTTTTGCAAGTATCCGGAATACTTAAATACGTTGAACTTCTCGACAGCTTCCATTATACGCTCCCACCTCGCCGAGTTAAAAGCATTCTGATGTTCAGTGTCGCTACTAGGCAATACTTCTTCGTGCCATTGAGCCATCTTCTCCCTGAGATCGCGTTCCTGGCGGTGTCGACGACAAGGTTGATAGCACCCAGAGTGAATCGACCTTTCCGGAACCCATATTGGTTGTCCGCCAACAGGGGTTCGACTGCTGTTTCTATTCGTTGATGGACAATTCGCTCGAGGATTTTGCCAGCGGTATAAAGTATACAGAGTGGACGGTATGATGACGGGTCATCCGGTGCTTTTTTCCCTTTCTGGAGTAGTATTAATCTCTGGTGCTTCCACATGGCAGGGAAAGTGCCCTCCCTTAGGCACTCATTGTATACGTCCAAAACCTTCGCCGGCATCGTATGGATAGTTGCCTTTAGGGTGATATTGGGGATTCCATCCAAGCCAGGGGCCTTAGTGTTACCCACCCTGTTGCAGGCTTCCATCAACGTTCTTGGCGCGGTTTTTTGCTACTCACTGTCTATATCAATCAAGTCCTGCTCCTACTGATTTTTTATTTTATGGAGGATTTTTAAACAATCCTTTTTCTATTGAGAACGTTTTTCTTACAGAAATCCGATCGTGTACTATACCCATTTATTTGACATTCTTGGCTTGGCTTTCTTTTTCATTTATTTGTATTTTTCAAAAATGTCCACTTTCCAGTAAAAACCTCACAAAACTTTTTCTTGGCGCAGTTTTTTTTACAAAATTCCCATCTTAATCTGTAAAGTTACATCCATTGTGAACATCAATTAATCATTTGTTCTAACCACATTGTTGAGTTTATAAATACTTTACTGTTGTTATTGATTAAAAACAAAAATTCTCCCCCCCCTCAATCCATTATTTAAAAAATTTTAAACTATGTCAATTCTAAAAAACTATCCGTCAAATTCAACTAGTCATAACAATCCTTGTAAAATCCGCAAAATGGCCTGGAGGAGAAATTTTGAAATTTTTTTTCCAATCGATGGGTGTTGATGTAACTTGAAACTGATGAGATCATGAAACTGATCGTCGTAGCGATTCATCAGTCATTCACGTGAAACGTGTGAAAATCATTTAAAAAATGAGTTTTCTCTGCGAATTCCACAATTTTACCGCGAATAACAATGATATTTGATTTTTTTTTTAATGATCAATGCATCTACATGGTATCAATTCCCCAACCGTAAGGGAGGAAGTTATTCTAATTATCCCGAAAATCAAAATTTGAATTTCCATGATTTATCGACATTTCATGACCCCTACTAATCATTGGATTAGATTAAAACCATTCGATTTTAATTGGATACTCAGCAAAGTCGCCTCAATCGTTTTCACGTTATTCGGATGGAAATTTCGAAATTTGATTTTTTTTTCTAACTACCCGTGTAGAAATCTCTTTGCTCAATCCCCGCTTGCTATACAGTCAAGCCGGGGCTCAGCGATCGGTTCGAGAGCGAGAGCGGAGGTTTAGCCGCATCCCCACTTGAATTTCTATACGGGTAGACGGGACGCGCGCTTCGCGCGCTAGCTTGGTTGCATGAGATCAATATATGTTATTTTTGTAATTCTCATTCCCATAAAGTTTCTGTTCTATAGCAATAACTATCCTGTAAACTGTTATATGAACAGTTGCATACCATCGACCGATAGGTATACAAAAATTCAAACCAAGCTGAATTTACAATAAACATTATGGAATTAAGGTTTTTAATGAAAAACTCACATACATTAATGAAAACTAGCCTCAATTTCATAATCCAGGGGTAAATTTCGAGATAATTTGATATATTTTTACCTGAGCACAGAATATCTCTACAGATTTGAACAGAAACCGGGCAAATCTTGTCATTAAGAGGAAAATGGTGAAAATTTTCAAAACGTGACATTCTAAAATCACTACACTATCGCGTAGAACGATTGATCTGGCGGATCGAATAAATGATATGGGATATCAATTTGAAGATCTCGATGAGACCTTCAAATTTACATATGATTTATCCCCACAGATCATACCTAAAACTTTGATAAATGGCAAAAACTGTAATTTATGGCGCGTAACATAACGTAAAAAGTGGAAACAATCTGCTATAACAGGATGCAAATTTCCTTGAATCACAATTACCGTGCACAATTTCGAAGAATAGTACATGCTCTTCAAAAAAAGCATAGATATCCCCGCCTAGTCCATTTATGTATATCGAAAAATCCAACCAAAATTAATTTTCGAAGTAAAACATGAAAATTCAATTTTCGTCTAAAACTCTCCGAAGTTAATGAAAAGTTGGCGAAGTTATATAATAAGCTTTCCAATGAATGTACTAAATGTATGGCTCATATAAGAGAAAAAAGGAATTGAGTATAGAAACCAAAGAATGAAACCTGTTAACGCTCATGGATATTTCCGTATTGAATATTTAATGGTTAAAAAAATGGGAATTGGTTTGGTAGTTATTGGTTCGAACCTGAACGGGTCACACCCACTCTAGCCCACACGTAATGGGAGCGACCGAAGTGAGCGAACGAAAACCCAATCGAATTCCGACACACCCGCAATGGGAACAAGTGACCGATAGCCCAGTCCGATGTTAGTCCAATAGCCCAGTCTCTATGTATTCAGTGCTTGGCACTTTTTGTTATTTCATCACTTTTTGAAAACAGGAAGCTCGGACCTGTTCTTGGCGAGTTGTTTCGCAAAAATTTATTTGTGTTCTTCGAGAGATTTTACACATTTTTGTAGTGACATCTTTAATCCTGCAATTCATTATATAGAGAGTAACGCTCGTCCTGAGTGAGTGCTCTTCTGCTAATTTTTGTTTCGGAATGGAAGCATTGCAATCCTTCGATTTTCACATTCTCGAGTTGTGATTGAAAAGAATGTAGAGTGGTCTGAAACGTAAAAATACGAAGTTTGGCGACCATGTCTGTACGTGATCAAGTCCTCCGCCACCTTGCCGGTGGTCAATTTTGAGCAAAATTAAGTAGTTAAGTGGCTAAAGTAATTTGAAGAAAATTGAAATTTTGTCAGATTGCAAATCCTAATGAGGACTAGCTGTGTGCAAAATTATTTTGGTAAGTTTTTGAGAAAAAGCGATTCATTTTTAAATAGTTTCCCGCAAATAGCTTCAAAACTAGTGGACCGATTTCGATTTTTTTTTTAATATTCGTTTTGACGCCTTCTATCGAAATCAATCAAAACATATATACTCGTTCATACAAAGTTTTCGAGATATTCCGGTTTCTCCATTTTTTCATAAAAAAAAACTTTGTCAACACTCTAGCTTGTGCAAAAATCGAGATATCAACTTGAAATTTGGACAGAAAATATGCATACTCGCTCATATCAAGTATTCGAAATATTGGAATTTCGTTAGCACTCATGGAGGTGGCGGTAACTGTCTGAAATTTTTTCTGCTAGTTAGTGTTGTGAAGCTATAAACTTTTGTAATATTTCAGATCATTCGAAAGCCCGCCATCAGTGTATTGATGGCGACAAAATATAAGATCTCACTCTGTGACATGCTCACTGTCACATGGCGCGGTTCATATGCTCGTTGTCCCCTGCTTGTTTTTTTCGCGGTAATTCACCCGTTTTTCTCAACATATATTTTTTCTAAATAACGAGGAAACCTGAGGCAAAATGCAATGTTTGTCATCGAGTCGAAATCCTAATATCTTTGTTTATAAACAAGCAAATGGAGCGAAAAATCAAAAGTTGAAAATCATAACAAGAGTTCCACTTAACTCCATCCGGAAAGTATTGTAGTCACGGGTATTGAAGCATATATAAACGGCGCGTTTATAAACCGCTAATCACTTTTGAATACCGGCGGCAAGGCAGACAACACAGCCAACTCCCTACACTCATCTGAACTCAGTAGCAGTGGTACCAACTTTCCCCCTTGGGCCTGTCCATAAATTATGTAAGAAGTAGGGGGAGGAAGGGGTCAAAGATTTCATACGGTGTTTTACGTGGGGGTGTAGGAATTGAGGTTGCTGAGGGATGTAACAATTCACTAACAAATGTAATTAGTATTTAAATTACAGTTTAATCAAGACGTTTGGAATATATATACAAAAGAGACAGAATAATCTAAGTGATCTGATCGGAGGTCAGTGTTAGACTCTACTGACTATCTTAAATCGCGTAAGACGGGAATTTGGATTCGCATGACAATAGGTGCGAGCGAGAGGTATTTTATACTGGGCGCGTGACAGAGCGCGATGATGCCACCGATGTCCAGTCGTCTCTCAGCGTTGTCGCATCTGTGCGTGTGTTACGCGTTGGTGTGTGTGTAGCGAGACGCTACAGGGGTGGTGGGTGAGTCCTCACGAATCTTATGTAGGATTTCGACATGGTCAAGACGGAATGGAGAAGTCATGTGTGTCATCAATGAAGAGAACAAAACTGCGATATTGTTGAGTGAGTGAATGAAGACAATGTTTCTCTCGATTCTGGAAGCCCTGCACCCTTGATTGTAAAAGAGACCCTGCAACTACTATATCTATTT